AAAAAGAAGGAAAACAACAGGACATGAAAGACGTTTGAAGCATCCGCTGTTATTAATCAACTTACTGTAAGAGCAATAAGAAGTCTGAAAGAAAATCAGAGTCTGGGTTAGGAGTGTATCTAGTCAGTAAAAATGAAGACACTCCATATTCTTGCTGACACTGAATATAATATTTTATCTACAGCAGCTGGTTCACATATTACATTCAGTGTATGATTATCACTTTGTGATTATTTATTATGTTAGAATCTTCATAACTTCAATGGAAAGATCATACCTGATACAGGGTTATAAATGCCACAACACCAGATACTGCCAACTTCAGTGGAAAACGGAAAGCTGTGTGATAAAAAAGTAAAGTGTTTTATGACTTTAACAGGGAATAAAACATAAAGGTATGACCAGACACAATGTAAAAAAAGATCAAGATCCAATATTTACCTTCTTCTGGTGTATAAATGTATAACTTCACAGCATCAATTATTTTTTGCGGGAGCCTGGGTGTCTCTGTGTTCGATGTGCTGAGGAGAACAGCAAACAGAGTTGAACACTTAAGCCTTGCATCTTATATCACACTTCAATTAATTCATGACATGACGAAAACAGTTGTGAATGAGTACGCCATGTTTGTCACTAGGCAACAGTCCTATATGTATTTACTGGTAACATTTTATATACCTCCTTAAATCAGGAGTAAATACTCTGACCATGCACTACAGCATCCCAGTCTGAGTTCACATCGTTATAGTATCTCCTTAAATTCTTATTATCTCTCTACTGTATAAAAAGGCCTTAAAACACCTAAAAAGATTCCTTATTCCTTAAAATATTAATCCAAACAAGTTTCATATACAGCATAAAAGTCTGTTATTTTGAGGAAAGAGTTCCCCCATCAACAAGGTGCAACATTTTGGCTGCCAAAAGACAAACACAGCTACATTACAGACTACACGCTACAATTCTCACCTGATTTTGCTGGGCTTCTTTTTCTTGAACAGTTTCTTCACATAGTCTTTATAGTAGCTGCTGCTTAGATCCTGATAGAACAGCAACCACAAAAGAAACCAAGTGAGCAGATACTAAAAAGGCTATGATTTGATTTGGGGGGTGACAAATGCTCCATTCAGGTCATCATATTAATAAATTCCTATGCAGTATTAATACATGTTAATCTAAACTTTGTCATGCCAGGTATGTTCCTCAGGGCTGCAGGGGGGGGATGAGTCAAACTCCAGACAGTCACCTCACCCCAGCTTTGTCACATCAATGCTGAGATTAGCATCAAATAAAATGAAGCACTGTGTTACTACAGTGAAAAAACAAGGCGACCTTTTCATAATCTGATCAAAAACATAATGTAAACCAATTAAGTCAAATCTACTTAAAATGATTAGGCTCCTGGACTTTTTCCCTCAGCCCCCACTCTCCGAGCACAATAAACCCTTTGATTAGTATGCAGCTTATAAAGGTTCCTGACGTTCCTCAGATTCAGAATAAATGTGCATCTTTGAGAGATTTTCTTTTCTTAATAGTTCAGGCTTACATGATGAAAAAGCAAACCTCAGGTTCAAAAGAGAAAAGATGCTCAGACAGTCACTGTTGTCTTCTGAAATATATTGCATTTATTCTGATTAGAGAGATGTGTTCATATAGCAGTGTATGTCAAACTCGTACTGAAGAAATGACTCTCAACAGATACAGTAGATCTTAAACCTACATATTATCAGAACAGAGGACCTTTGGAGAACCAGTTGAAGCCAGTTTCCCCATACAAGCATGAATGTCAGGATGCTAACTGGGAGATTACCTCACATCACACATGCTCTTAATTTTACCTAACGGAACTCTGACCAAGAAAAAATATCTGTATCTTAACTCACTGGAAAGAATAACATAAAGCATACGTGACTAGTAGATTCTCCACCATATGAACATAGACTATTAATCAACGTAGACAGTTTTATTCTGTTATATAACTAGGTTAAACAATTAGTGCTGTAAGAGCTATTCAGCTGTCTTGAAGCAAACACACAGGAAATGCTTTCACATCAAAACTTACCTCTGTACCATTGTTCTTGTCAGTGCCCTTAAAACCTTTGAATAGAAGAAGGGGGTACTGGAAACTAAGGAATGCCAAGCAAGCAATCTGGGGCAGACTGGAGAAAAGGGAATAGTGTTTGTGTATCTGAAAAGAAATAATAAAAAAAAACATACAAAGTTTTAGAGTGACATACTAGGAATACTACATTACAGATACTTTAAACTACATTGTATTGACATAAACAGTAGAGACAGATGGCTTTGTGTGTTGTAGTGGGAATCAGAATTTTGGCCAAATGTGCTGAAATTTTTCACATTTAATGTTGGGATTTAACAGAGCAATATTTTCCATGTTTAGGAAGAACTACCATGCTAACTATAACATTGTGTAAAACTACTCTTGCTGTCACTGCTATATTTAAATTAGGATAGCCATTACACAAGGTACTATTAAGTCTCTCTCTGAAGTCTCTTTATTGATACACACTAACCTGATTAACTGTGACAAAGCCCCTTGATTAAGACCAACAGACAGTGGAACGAACTTTTTTGAGTCGTGGCCATTCATTGCACAGAAAATCCAAAATACATGACACAAAGGCTGGGATTGGGTAAGGTTTAAAGCTCCATCCATGTGTCCATGAATGCAACTGAAAAGCCTGATATTCATCTTTTCAAATCACGTCTTACACACAAAGTATATCACAGACTAGCTTTCTTTAGTAATGAATGGGCTTCCAGGCCAGAACAAATTAGCTTTGTCTTTGAAATAATCCTTAAAACTCAGACAGATGACACAAATCAGGGAAAATGACAATTAAAAATCCTGGGACAATTTAGACTCTGGATTATTCGATACATCTACTGCTCTCCCAAGTAGGGGCTAGATCTAAAAGATTTTGGATGGGGTGGCCAGGCTGGGGCACAGACTTAATGAGGAGTTTGAAATACAACCCCAAATCAAAAAAAGTTTGGACACTATGTAAAATTTTAATTAAAACTGGAAATAGTGATTTGTAATGCATGCATGATATAAAATAAAACAAATTTGACCAAAATCAATTTTAAAGCACCAAAAATCGGTAGTTGCATTTAAGGCAACAGTTTGCCATTGTTTTTTTATTTATTTTTAATTCATTAATACTGACAAGCATCACATTTGGAGTCTGGCAGGGGTGGCCAATCAGATTGTGTTGGTGGCCAGTGCCAACCCCTGGACACACCCTGGGCTTCATCCATGCTCCCAAACTATTAGTTGTAAATGAATTGGAACTCACTGTTGTATTAAAAGTGCTCTTTACTTACCAGAGGTGTTTTGGGACAGTCAAGTTTCTGCCACACCAGAACACTAAAGTGTGTCCATGACAAGAGGCTACCAAGCACATAGCCAACTTTATTATGCAAGGTCCCACATGCCAGGAGAGGGTAGTAAAGTGCGGGATAGTAGAAGACTCCCAGAATTACCCAGCTCTCTGAAAATACAACAAAAGAGTGTGAAGACCCAAAGTTTTAAAAAGAATCTACTGTCCACCGATTTGTGATTTTGTCATCCATGTGACACAAGATTGTAACTTTGACAACTGATCCCGCTTCTCTTCCATTTTTGGGAAAATGTGTGGAAACAGTCATTTAAGCTCACAGGGGACAGAACAGCTGCTATACGTCTTTTACTGCTCAACATGGAATTGTTGCAGATTGTGTAAAGTGGTAGGGTACTGACTCCTTACAGTCAGTTCTTATACAATTTCATTTCAGAAGAAAAAGCTTCTTGTAAAGCTTGGCATCCAATACCCAAATCAAAAATAACAAACACATGGAAACAAAACAGTCCAATTGCATAATAAAGATATTTAACAAAAATACAGTTTATGGAGGTAAGTATACCTGTTTGCACTGTCTAGTCTTCTAACAGAACCTTTCTTTTGTCCACTTGTGCAAAACAGGGACATTTTAACTACTGGGATAAAAGCCAAAATACAACTTCAATGAAAAATAAACATTTTTTAAAAAGATCTATAGAATACTGACAATCTGTGAAATAAGGGAATAGACAGAGACCGATGTTAGATAAGGAAAAACCTAGATGACCTCCTCACGTTTGTTCTGGGAGTCTGTTGTGAAGGGTAGGGGGTTCGGTGACACGACCAGGCCCCATAGTTTGCACAAGAGCACTCCAAACACAGCCACTGCCAGACCCTTGTGCTGTGTATGGTCCAGGAAGTTGACCGGACTGTGAAATCAAGCAGCAGGTATTTAGAGCCCACATGTTATCAGCCTCATCTTTGAATGAAACACTTACTGAGGGGGGAATGACAGAACTTCAAAGAACATTGTAAGGTCTTTTTTAAAGTTTCACCTACAAACTACAAACTAATTACTAGGGCCTAAAAGTATAATAGGCATTGTTAACGTGATTTTCTACTTTCCAGACTGCCACTGGCTTCCATTCATGTCACTAAGGTATGAAAATCAACTAACTATGAGGCATGGCACTTGCTTCAGATTAATTCAGGCAGGGTTCACTGAACATGAAAGCTCTTTTTCATTTCCACCCAGCTCCAGAAACACACAGTAGTACACACTCACCTCATGAAGTTACCCAGTATGACCACAGTTTTATCTGCTGGCCACTGAACGGTTCTACTGGAGCAGATCTGGGGTTAATAACTCAAGGTTGCATCAACCAGTCAAAAGATGAAATTAGGGCGAGTAAGGCTGGTGCTATGATTATGTTACAAATATTCTTAACTTGACTTGGGAATCAATCAAAGTTCTCTGTTTTTAAAGAGGCAAGCTTCCAAATTCACACTTTGCCAACATTTATTTGACCTAACACTCTCAAAATTGAGCTTGTAATTATAGCACCTGTGTAACTTGACTTGGGAATCAATCAAAGTTGTCTTTTTTTAAAGAGGCAAGCTTCCAAATTTACACTTTGTCAACATTTATTTGACCTAACACTCTCATAATTGAGCTTGTAATTCTAGCACCTGCAACAATATTCATATGTTATGGCAAATGTTCACTGTGATGAATTTTGTTGAACTTCAAACAATACTGAAATAAATGGAAGCCAAAAACATCTGGGTGGATAGGAAATCAATCTATACAGTACATCTTTGGAAAATCATCAATAGCAATGCAGATTAATTGCAAAGGTACCAATATGGTTTTATAGCAACAGGCAGCTAGATCATTTCCCATTTAACCATGATGTTTATTACATTCCAAAAAAATATTAAATAAAACAGAGCCTCACCTGAGTAAACCTGAGAGTCCTTTCTGTCTGTTGCCCACATTTGTGCGCCTGGCTAAGACTGCTAGGATTAGCATGACAACAAGCTAGAAGAGAACACCTCAGTTATTAGCATCATTTATGGAGTTGTGTGCCATGTGCAGCTGTTGACTCCCCCAGGTTCAGGCATCACCCTACTTCTAAAAATGAGGGGAGTCCATGCCACAAAAGGCCAAGCTTCACTTCAGTGTCTCATTAGTGCTCCCTATGGATGTAGTCTGAATGAACTGACATCAGTCAAAACCACTCACCAATAAAAGTTCAGTGACCTGTCATGACCTATGACACAAGAAGAGAGCCTTGCACTAAATTGGGCCAGAGCCGAACAACTACTTAGACCATCAAAGCAAAAGTAACATCATTATGTAGCTAAGTAACATTATTATGTAAACATAGCACAAATCCTACACTATGTGCAATATCTTGTAAAATGGTAATGACAATGAACATGTCTGGATCTCATACTAATTGAGTGACAAGACATATCAGTATGACCTGAAGCTCAAACTGGCAAAATTTCTGCATTCAGTTACACTTTAATTGTGTAATACATGATTTGTTTGATGCAACTGGCAATCACTGGAAAAACTGACAAGGCTGCACCACTGTCTAAACTGGATACTTAGTCATCATTTATAGGTCAGGATCTCCATCATAAAGATATAGTATATTGATATTGATACTCAAGTTTGTCATAAGAAACAAAAAAGGTCCAAAAACCCTTTAATTTATGACATGGATTTTTTTCCTATAATCGTGCATTGGTGCTGGAGCTACACCTGGAACTGTGTCCAAAATCTATAACTTTTTTCTTTGAGCCATGGCCTAGCATTCTACCAAATTCCATCAAAACCTGTTTACAACTTTTTCAGATATTCCACTAAATAACAGACAAACAGAGATCAAAACATACAGCATAAAATAATTAGCCATGCTTGACTTTGGCAGCTGGATCTTTAATCTTATCAAGGAAACAAATATCACGATATATGACATTATAAAAACGGTTTCATGTCTGATAGCAAGGTGGGGTATCATAAACTCAGTCAGTGAATGACAGAACAGTGTAATTTTGTGTCACATTGACCAATGGGAAAGCAAACTTACAGATACTGCAGTGATGCATATATGGTAGAGGCTGTCATCAGCTGTTGGCTCACATGGAGGGATTATTCTACAAAGAGAACAAAACATTCACACATAAGCCAAACAATCAATCTGAGTCTTAAAACCCAAGGCTGTGAGTCACTGAACTGACCTATAGTACACCTCAGTAAACCCTTCATACGTCACTATTGGAGCCATTTGTGGCTGGAAAATTTGTAGCTGAAATCTTGCAGCAGAGATTTGCATTTAAATGGATTGGTATCAGTGTGACAGG